TTCTAGTGTTGAGCTGCTTTATAGGGAAAACATAGTCATTTACTTACTGTTGCACATCATTGGATTAAGATACGTAGTGCATATATTCGTATAATCGTATCTCTGTTAATGTATTGTGTGTATTTACTTGAGATTGCAATATGCAGAAATAAAACGGTTGTATTTTTACTATGATTGCATATTGTGTTTTGTCCTGTAATGAAGAATATTAGCCGAACCACCTGAACTTATGGGGGTGCTGGAGATCCATATTTGATTATATATATAGTATAATTAGCATAAAAAACATGATGATTAGCATAAGTTGTTATCGTCTAAAGTTGATATATTATATATAGTATTAAAAGGTTTGGTGATCGTAAGTTGTTATCATCTATAATTAGCATGAAAGACGTGATTATTTTTATTCTGAAAACAGAAAAGGAGTTGAAAAATGACTAGTGGTATGTATTTAATTGATGAGAGGTTGAGACACGACGTATTTTTTTAGGTGCACCATACATTAGGTAGAGACTTGTTAGACACACACACGCACACATATATATATATATATTGTTCTTTATACAATTTTAACAAAATGAACTCACAATTTATTACTTAACTCGGTCTCATAATAATTGATAATTTGAAAAATTTAGGCTCACTACCACCTTTTATTTTTGAATCATTTGATATTATTTTTAGTCATAGTCCTTTAATATATTTATATACTACATATATCTCATACTGAAGGTCTATTTCGATAACTTTAACTTGCAAAAATTATGAATCAAAATTTTTAAAGTTGACAACTAATATGGGACACGTTGGTGAGAACAACCAAGTGTTTGCTATGAAATATATTTATTATATATATATATATATATATTTATATATATGTGTCTATATGTATATATATAAATATATAGTATAAATTAGCAAAATATTTGGTGATCCTAAGCAGCTGGCACTTATAATAAAGATGAAAGGGACTCGTGTACGATGGATAGATTATTGACTTTTCTTTCTTTCGGTATGACAATCATCATTCCTATCAAACGGTAAAAATAAAAAATTCCTATCTACGCAGTGAGTAATTTACTTGGTAATGTTTTATTTTTTATTTTTTTATAGATATGTTTTGTTTTTCCTTTCGATAAGTATCCCTAACTCACACACATTTTGTTTAAACAATAATCAACTCACTGGTTAGTCACTTTGTAAGAATTGAAGACAAAATCGAGTGTTTGTCACAAGAGACTCTTTATGCACTGGATCATCTGTGCAAGTAATTTTTTATTCGAGTCTCGAATACTTATTTTAAAACGTTTTAAAATAAAACACACACATATACATACATACATGTATATATATATATATATATATATATATATAATATAACAACAGTTACATACCTCACCTTCATAGTCTCTCTCAGCTACGAAGGAGATAGAAAGAGGTCCCCGTCAAGCATGGTTGATACAGCTGTGGTTGACTGGTGAGGTCATGTATCTAGTTATCTACTACTATCAGAGAAAATAAAGAGGAAGAAAATAAAAAAAAAATAAAAAATCGAAAGTGTTCAAATAAAGTAATATACAGCTGTGTTTAATGTAGGACTAAAAACGTAAGTAATAAAAAAGTTGCTGGTCAGGTACGTTGTTTAAGTTTTAAATGCTGGGCCTAGATTCATTGCCCATTCTTTGTTTAGTACACAAGGTTGGTGAAGAAAGTTAGGGTATGTATTGTATTGTTGGGCCGTAGTGTCTATTGACAGGCACTGTGGGCTCAAGAGAATCTTTCTCGACCCAAAGATAGAGATAAAGATAAAAGATATACAATGATCGAGTATCGGGCCCACATATTTTGGCCCATAAGAGCTGCCCATTTAGCGCCAAAATAAAGGTTTAAAGAATCGTATTATGCCACGCGTCTAGTTCCCACGCTCGTTTGTCTTCATTCTTCAATGAGCTGACTTGGGGTTTTGGTTGCACAGATTCTGAGCATCTCTATTTTGTCTTGGACCAAAATACCCCCATGATTATTTATAAATGACCATGGATTTGTTTCGAATGACTAGTATCAATTGGCTAATATAAAAATTTTGATCTTTAGATAACATACATTTTTGTTTAGCGGAAAATGTTTTTTTATGCTGTGTTTGGCAAACATAGCATGAAATTGGTAAAATTTTTGGTTTACATACACCTAAAACGTGAAAATTAAATTTAGAGATATCTAATTCTCCAAACAATTAACAAGATTATTCATTACTTATATATTTATGTCACTTTATGAGTTGAGTTGATTTGACTTGACTTGACACACCAAACTCATGTATAGTATTAATTTTAATTTTATATTAAAAAATTTTAATTGTAAACTCTAAAATAGCAAGATTTATTTCACTTTCTTGGTATCATTATACTTTACCAAGCATGAAAAAATTAAATAATCTCTACTATAAACTTTCCAGCAAATTGTTTGGAGGAAAAGAAAGTTCTATTAACTTCCATATTATAGCACACAGTCTTGTTTTAGTTTTGTTATTGTTAACTCTGGTCTTGTTAATGATCTTGTCAAGGATTGACCATTAGATTAAGTCCTTGGGTAATACAGCTCATGGGTTGACTCTAGACAGAGCTGGAGCTTAGTTCATGTTTGACCTTATCATTTGTAGCTATTATATATATATATATATATACACACACACATACTATAAGTGTATAATATATATTTGTGGAGTTGTGGTCAGACTTGGAGTATGTTTTGCTTGGCTGGGTTAAGACCTGTCCGCATATATTTCATTAAAGTTCTTCCATTCGTTTGTCAATCTTGTTTGAATTGTTTAATGAAGCTTAGTGATCCATAAATATGATTTGAGCTCATTTATCAGTAGAATAATTGGACTTTGGAGGATTACATGAATCTTATGTCGAGTCACTTTACTTCAAATAAGAATATAATCACTGTACTAGCGTCTCTTTCGTGTAATAAGAATTCTTTCATTTGACCATTTGTAATGAATTTAATACAGTGAGGTGGGTCCCGACTGGTTGCCGACTTGGTCTAGATAATCTAAAGAACTACGAAAAAGAGAGGTCTGAGTTTGTTTATCAAACAATTTTCCCATTTTGTAATAGGTTATATACCTTCTTTTATTAATAATTATTTTTTGAACTAATAAAAAATGTGAGAACTTTATTAATTGTTTTTGTTTATTTTGTTAAGTACCATCTTTTTTTTAACATGCCTTTTTAATTTTGATAATCAAGATGAGAAGTTTGAACTCGATACTTTGACTTCAAACACTTGTAACTTTCATCATCATTAATTATAGAAAAATAATATTTAGGTTCAATGGTCTACCTAAAATAATGGGCCAAGGTACTCATGTGGGTCCTCTATTGCATCCACGTTAGAAGATTGTTGGATTTAAATATCACAACTTTTAAAGGAACACGTTCCCTCCTTGTGAGATCTGATCTTTTTTTGGTTGAATAATGATAAATAGTTCGAAAATTGGATGTATCCAATTGTTTTATGTGAGTGGGGATGACACCATCATAATATCATCCTTTACTTACAGTTTTAGCCTGATCTGTCCGACTTTCTATCATTATTCTTTTTAGTTAACACAATTTTCAATTACCCTTTTAAAAGTCAAGAATTTACCTCGTTAATTTCCATCTATTTAACATAAGAGTTCATGTAAGCATCACTATTGGATCAGAGTGGGTGAATGTTTCTTCGCAATTAGAAGGAGGGTGGTTGTGATGTTCATACATGAATTTTAATTATTTAAATTTTTTTTGAACCATTAAAATATAGAACAGACAAAAAAGTAAAGCCAGAATATGATCCTTTGCTTCACTCGTCACACCAATATTCTCATTGTGACCCAAGCAATCCATCCTTTAGGTACATATCAAAATCAATGTACCTCCTCAAATGGAGCAGCCACTTCTAACGTGCGCCGCTCATTGTCTCCACTTTTCAATTGAAATCGTCATCCGGTAAGTAGTCCTTTTGTATGCATTGGGATGGTTGTGATTTTAATGCTACGTGTTTCCATCTCAACTATTGTACCGCCAGCACGCCTAGCCCTAAATTTTGGTGTTACAGTAATTTTCAGCACCATTAGATTTATCTGTCACTGCATCTAGATCTATCTTTCATTAGTCAGATTTAGCCGGTTAAAAAAATAGATGTAATTGTGTCTATAATGTAAATGTAATGTATTAAAAGTATATAATAGAGGTGCACAAAGAACCATTAGGATTAGGAATCACTTTGATTCCGGTTCGTTTTTAAATATTTGAAACCGTTAAGTTTTGGTTCCGATTCTAAAATGTGGAACCGATTTTGTTCAGTTTCGCTTTCACATTCCAAGAATTTTGATTTTTAGAATTGTCCTGTGTGCACTCCTGATATATAATGCCACTGCACTGCAGAGTCTGCACCCTTACATACAGCAGAAGAGCAGACAGATTCACTTCGATAATAGTATGATCAAGGTCACTCACAGGTGTACACGCGATCACTCTTCTGTATAATAAAACATGGTTAGTGATGACAAAACACCCTATCTGAATCCGTTTAGAGTGGTTTTGGGTAATGGGTTTTAGGGCGAGGAGAGAAAAAAGTCAGCCAGCCTGTTTACGGTGTGATAAATTAATTTCTAAATATTATTGTGATTTTTTGCAATTGAGAATGTGGATATTTATCTAATCCACGCAAAGAATTATTTCATTATTTATCTTTGTTAAATTTATACTATCTGCTTCCTTATTTAATTATTTATCTCGTAAATTATGATTTACGTGTGTGTGTTAATTATAATTTACGAGATAAATAATTAGATAAGTCACAATTTAAAAGATGAACAACTAAAAGGAGACGAGGGAGTAAAACAATTACCTAAAATCGTTTGCCTCGTTTAATAAGGGTTTTGGCCAAAAATTTTTACACTACCCCCGAGTAACAAGGTCTCCCAACAGTAGGATTATTCAATATTCATCAGATGGGTCTCACAATTACATCAAAAAAGTAGGGAGACGCTAATGGCTATGCTAAACGAACCCGTTGCCATCCCTACTTAGATGGTGCTGTTTGTGCAGAGGATTCGCCTACACGAGTACACCCTGCCAACAAACGAGTCGACAACTACTTAGAGCCTTCGTCCTCTTCTCCCTAATCCCCATACCCCCAACCCCTTTAAAACCCCTTCCTCTCTCTCTCTCCTAAATTCAAATTTACTCTCTCTCTATATATATTGCTCTGTTTTCAGTACACTTCCATTTTCATGGCTTCCTCTGTCTTCTTTATCTTCCTTACAATCTTTTTAACATGCATTTCTCTCTCCTCCTCAGAAATGCTACTTCTGCCTCTAACCCACTATCTCTCTACCACCCAATTCAACAGTACCCACCACCTCCTCAAATCCACCTCCACCCGCTCCGCCACCCGCTTCCACCACCACCGCACCCAACGCCAGGTCTCCCTCCCACTCTCCCCCGGCACCGACTACACCCTCTCCTTCTCCCTCGGCTCCGATCCTCCCCAAACCATCTCTCTCTACATGGACACCGGCAGCGACCTCGTCTGGTTCCCCTGTTCCCCATTCGATTGCATCCTCTGCGAAGGCAAATACAACCCCTCCACCATCCCCAACCCCACCCCTCTCAACCTCTCCTCCTCCGCCGCCTCCGTCAAGTGCAAGTCGCGTGCCTGCTCCGCCGCCCACTCTTCTCTCCCCTCCTCCGACCTCTGCGCCATGGCTCGATGCCCATTAGAAACAATCGAGATATCGGATTGTGCGTCCTTCTCTTGCCCACCGTTCTACTACGCTTACGGCGACGGGAGCTTCATAGCTCGTCTGTATAGCGACAGTTTATCGATACCCATGGCGTCGCCGGCGCTGGTTCTCCGGAACTTCACCTTCGGCTGCGCTCACTCTGCCCTCGCCGAGCCCATCGGCGTAGCCGGGTTCGGCCGTGGACTCCTCTCCTTGCCGGCTCAGCTCTCCACCTTCTCTCCCCAATTGGGTAATCGGTTTTCTTACTGTTTAGTTTCTCACTCATTCGACGAGGAACGAGTCCGGCGACCGAGTCCACTCATTCTGGGTCGGTACTCGCTTGATAATAAAGAGAAGAAAGAGAAAGGAGTTGAAAATGAAATTGAGTTTGTATACACTCCTATGCTTGATAACCCAAAACACCCTTACTACTATTGCGTCGGGCTCGAGGCGGTAACCGTCGGGAAGCGGCGGATTCCGGCGCCGGTGAGCTTGAAAAGGGTTGATGGAAGGGGTAACGGCGGGATGGTGGTGGATTCCGGGACGACGTTCACGATGTTGCCAGCGGGATTGTACGAGTCATTGGTGGCTGAGTTCGATCGCAGAGTTCGACACGTTTATAAACGGGCGAGTCAAATCGAGGACAACACGGGACTCAGTCCGTGCTATTATCTTGATGACTCGGTGGGAACGAAAGCAGTGCCTATGGTGGTTTTGCATTTTGTGGGGAATTCCAGTGTGGTGTTGCCTAGGAGGAACTATTTTTACGAGTTTTTAGACGGTGGTGATGATGGGAAGAAGGGGAAGAGGAAGGTGGGGTGTGTGATGCTGATGAACGGTGGTGATGAAGCGGAGTCAAGTGGGCCCGTGGGGACGCTTGGGAACTATCAGCAGCAGGGGTTTGAGGTGGTTTATGATTTGGGGAAGAGACAGGTCGGGTTTGCGAAGAGGAAGTGCGCATCTTTGTGGGATAGCTTGAATCAGCGCTAACGTGCGCATCATGGTAGACATTGCGACACTGGATTGACTTTTCCCGGGTCAGGTCAAAGTGTGCGGGTCGGGTAATTTGTGGTTTGACCGCACGTGGGGTTTTTACAGGCTTGTAAATGGGTTGGACATAAGAAATAAGGAGGGGACCTGTTTGGGTGGTTTGTGAAGGTTAGGGTTACATATATTCCATTTTTGGCTTCTTGTATTCTAATCACACAATGTATATTTTGAATGTTCATAACATAAAATGATTGTACTGTGGATTACAAGAAGCTAAAATTGGAAGGCAAATAGAATAATAAAAGATTTAAATTTGGAAATTAAATTTTTTAGTTTTTACTTAAATTTTGTAAAGACTGGATTCATTTTTCACTTATTTACTAAACAATCTGGTCAATTGGACCTATTTTTAAATTATTTATTTATTTATTTATGATTTAGAGTCACTTTACCTCTTTCAGTTGTTGCAGTATTGACATTAGCATTTGCATGCGCCACCATCTCTTTTACCTGTTAAAGTTTAAAGTGAAAGGTCGGGAGTTAATCCGATAATTATATTTTGTTACTCGTATTATGTACTATTAGTTAAATTTTATTTTTATTAGTTGAAATGGTAAAATTTATCATTGAAAGTTGTGAGTGAACCTCATCAATTACAATGAAGTTGGTTTATAATTGAAATAGTGAATTTTATAGAAGAAAAAAAATATGGATATGAGAAAATTGAAATCCATCTCTCTCGCCCCAATTATTTTAATTATTTATAGACTCTGACATTTGCATCAATATTTTATTATTGTCACATATTCAATACAGATGTTGTCATTTGATTTGGTGAGCTATTGCTGGGATAGATTTTAAGGATTTTGCCTACGTATTATTTCAATGAAAAGGAAGCTCAAAATTTGATTGGTGCCTATAATAGATTGATTTGATTTTGATAGGGGTAGACTTTGATGGTCGGTTAAAAGTGATAATCGTATCCATACACCACAGAAAATGACTAATTTCTAATTCTCTTTTTAATAAATAATGCTAATAAGATAATTTTCTCGTGACAAACATCGTTAACTCTCTAAATTTAACTATTTAATTGAGATATTTTTTTAAAACTTCTTAAAAAGAAATTTTAAAAAATTATTTAATATAATTTTCAACATATTAATTACATGTACATAACTCATAACTCTTATCATTGGTTTATCTTATCAACTGATACGCGAGGCATTTGTCGTTTCGTAATTTCTTTTTAAGTGTTCGATACATCTTCATTAATCAATCAATCTACATTTATATTCGTTAAAATTCGTTATACCGAGACCGCTAGCGTGCAAGCCTTGTTATCACAAGGAGCTCTTTACTCTTTTGTGTGTGTGTGTGAGAGAGAGAGAGAGAGAGATAGAGAGAGAGAGAGATTAAAAAAGCTGTGAGAGAGTTACCCTTCTTTAAGGAGTTGGCATCTTCATTACTACACACTATGTCATCACTGAGATTAACTATACCCTGTCACCACTTTCAAAACATGAGATAAAGGATGGAGTAAATTAAAGAAAGAAAAATGACAGAAATGTAAAAGTGGTGATTGATGGAAGTGGGAGGTAGGATTGTGGCTTTCAATGTTAGATAGCTGCCAATTTTGAGTCAATTGATGAACAAAAACCAGCTGTCCTACTGTAGATGATGAGTAGTCTATTGGGCATAAGGGTAGGCTACTTTTTTCAGATGGGCCTTGTCTTTCATTATTTGAGAGTTAAGACCACTTCATAATCTCTCTTTTACCCTTCGGACCACTCATTTATTTCTCCAATCATTTGTTTGTTCTAGGTAGGAGAATTTTATTACATTAAAATAGTACCATGGTGGGATTGTTGATAATTAGCCCATATTATTAATATTGGCTCCAAAGTAAAATATACATTCAATTCAATTATTGAGGATTGATAGTTAGGATTGTTGGTAACATCTCTTTTAATATATGAATTAAATCTATCCTAAAGTAGACATTATGTTTGTTGTTATTAGTTCTCTTTCTGATTGTTACACTGACAAATTTAAAAAGAAAAAGATGAAATATTTTACATTATTCCGAAAAAAATACTCTAATATGTTATATTTGGTGATATGAAATTATTGTTTCAGAATTAAAATTAAGATAAAATTAATTTAAAATTTAAATTAAATTTTCTTCAATTTCAATTTTATGACAACCAACATAGCATAAATTGCATCACAAACATTGATCAAAAGTTAATGGATGTTTTTTTTTTTTTTTTCCCCTATAAAAGTTAATTGATGTTTAATCACATAAAAGATGATACAGATGTTTGATTAGAGTATTTCACCTACAACTTTTTGGTTGGTCGTCCTTACATCATGCACCTGCATCTTAACTGTGCATGATTGAGTTGAAATATAAACTATGCATTAATGTAACCTTTTCCTAATAATTTCTTGATCTTATATTAGTTGTCACTTTAAATACTATTACTTTCTTCGTTGTAATCTAATTGTTCATTTTTTTTTCATTTCATGAGTTGTTTCAAAATACTTTTTCACCTTTTAAATTTAAACAAAATATTTCACATTCTTTCGTAAATACCTTCAAAGTTTTAAAAAAATTCAAACTTAATTACTTTTTAAGAGGGACATCTATTATGAGACAGGTAGTGATATGTGCACCGATTTATCAAGTAAGAGGATCTCACTTTCTTATTTATTGCATAAATGATCCATTAAAAAAAATAGGTCTTACAATTCACAGCAATAAATTGGTGTAAGTATGATTTTTCATTTTAATAACATCTTGTCCATTTTAACAGTTTTATATAGATAATTAATAGCTTTCATTTCTTTGATAAGGTAGGCGTTTTAACATTCTCTCACTCCTGTTTCTTGTGTTTTTATTTTATTTTATTAATTTTTATTTTAAGGACTAAATCTCTTAGGTTTCGTTTGGATAAATATGAGAAGGGAAAAAAAAAAAAAAAAAAAATGAATCTCATTAGTTATAAAGAGAAAATAAAAGAAATGATAGCAATAATCTTTATACTTGTTTAGATAAATTATAAAAGAAAAGAAAGGAAATGAAATGATAGTATTCGTGTTTGGAAAAGATAGACGAGAGAAAAGAATAAAAATCAAATTACAAATCATAACCTTTTTATAAAATGTTATAAGATGATACTCAAATGTAATAAGAGAGTAGTTTCGGAATTATGAAAATGTTACTTACTCATTTCTTTCCAAATCTTCACATTTTTTTTGGAGAATAACACATGAGGAATTTGGAGAAATAGTTATCCCTCAAAATCTCTCTCAATCCATTCTTTTCTCTCCACTAAAAACTATCAAAACACGATTTCCACAATCAGTGTTTTTTTGTTCTCTCTTTTCAAGTACCTTCAAATCACTCAATCCAAATGAAGCATAAGAATTGGGATGGTGAGGTTTTCTTTATCATCGTATTGGAAGAAGACATTCCACGTCATTGGTATGTTCATCCATTGAAAATGTACCATACCTATTTGTTTTTTGTTTTGTTTTTGAATTTATAGTATTATTTTGTTGCAATTAGTTTTTATAAGCACGTGAGAATAATTTCACTGTATGGTGTATTTTTATGGATAAATTACATTGATTTTTCTTGAAGTAGGCTAATTATATATGAATAGATCATCCAGCTTTTTATTTGTTTGACCTTCGTGAGATTTGGCGCTCAAAGACATCCTAGTGTTTTCTTTTCAATAGATCTTTTCACTAAAATGACACCCCTAATGTTTTCTTTTCAACAGGTCTTTTGGCTAAAATTTTTAAAAAATGACATTTTACTCTTTCCTTATATAAAATGTATTATTATATAAGGATAATAATGAATTTTCATGCTTAAAGTTATTTTTTAAGTAAACGATTTCAGGGAATGTCAAAATAATAAATACAAATAATTTGTATGCCCGACTCACCTAATTAATCAATTATACAACAAATAAGGAAGTAGAACCCTTCACTTAGTTGTATTTGGTATAAATATTTAATTAAAAATTATTCAGTTAAACAATTAACTATTCGGTGTGAGTATCACTACTCTATATTTTTTCAAGAAGTGATACTCACACCGACCACTTGCACTGAATTAATAATTTTTAATTGGTTATTTATACCAAATATAACTAAGTAGTCTAAGTGGATGACTCTATTTCTTTATTTATTACATAATTGACCGATTAAAAGAATAGGTCTAGCAAACAACTATTGGGTGGAATCTAGTGATCATTTTTTTTATATATTTGTCCCTAAATAAGCTTCCATTTGAAAATTTATTGTACTATTATTATTATTATTTATTTTGTATAATATTATCAATTTAACATTTTAACATTGAACTTATAAAAATATAAATCATTACATTATTATTTTTTTGTAATTAATCACTACTAATATAATAACATAATAATAAAAATAATTCTCTAAAAAAGTTTGATTATCGAAACCAATGGAGTAACATTAATAACTTTTTTACTATATATATATAATTTGTTTTTTTCGTTTTTCTTTTTGTTTTCTATCTTACGATCTTTGTCAAAGTGAGAGAGAGTTGAATACGAATGGTACACGTGGCAAAACACGACAAACACGCCGCCAGGAAACTTAGATTGAATGAGACGCATATACTCTGTCAACGCGTTTTCAATTTTTGAAGAGTTCCTCAGTATCATAATATCTCAGCTCATCGTTAGCTGTCTGCCACCAACTTTTCCACACGAGTGGCATGTGGGCCCATTTTCCCTATTTTCAGACAATCATGGACCACGACAAATTCATTTGTGTACCGTTCGTAGCGTCCAAACTTCGAATTTCCTTTAATTTGGTCCATTGCATTGCATATTTTTTTAAAAAAATCATATATTCTCGATTATTATTGATTGATTGATTTTTAATTTTTTTTTTTTTTTTTTTTTTCATATCTTGCACCAATATATTTATTATTTTAGTTAGAATTTTTTATTTCATTATATCGTGTTTAAAATGTTTCTTGTAAATTTCTGATTTGTTTAGTATTAGTATGAATTCGGCAGGTGAAAACTAAGAAAAAAGAGAAAAAGAAAAATGTCAATTTATGTAAAGAAATGCTTGGATGCATGCAGAATACATGACTAATGGAAGTGTGAGTAAGAAAAGCTGAATAAGACAACTAAAGGTTTGATTCATTAAAAGAATGATGGAACAAAAAGTCTCTTCACGTGTAAAATGTGAATTTATGTCGATAATTTTACATTTGAGTCATGTCACATAATGTTTTTAAATTGATTCTCATCTTACATTTTATGCACACTTTCACTCTTATACTTTGCATGGACTCGCATTTTCGTTTAAATTATATATAATTATCTTTTTCACGCCCGCATTTTTTGAACAGAAGAGGGTGCTCTTCCGTTCTTATGTGACTTAGATTTGAAGAAATTTTTTTTTTTTCTCTTTCGATTCCTACTGTTTGTTCATTTATTTTTGGATGGAAAGAATACGGTGAATTGCTTGAAAAAAAGCCTTTCCCTTCATGTTTTGTAGGAGTATATCTTATTCTTGAGAAAGTGAATTCCTTCCTCTCTTCCTTTTCCTTTATATTTTCTCTCATTTGAATTCCTTTCCTCTCTTCCCTTTCCTTTTCTTTTTCTCCTATTTTCTGTGTCACCAAATCCACTCAAGTCTGAAGAATATTTGTCATATTGTCGAAATATGGAGTTGGCATTTGTTTTGTTGAGACTTGAGTAGTTAAAGAGGGCCATAACTTGGTTTTGTTTTGTTACATGCATATCTTTGCAGTACGATTGCACTTTCGCAACAAAACAAATTGAATATGAAGATGGATGTCCCATCCCCAAATGTACATGCACCTTATGCCATTCCAATTTCAAAATTGCCAACAACTCATCAATTTGTTTGTTTTTTTCTTTGCCCACTTGCAACTTCTAAATGAGCAAATATATATATATATACATAGTGATGATAGTCGAGCCTAATTCTAATTTCAAAGACTCAATACAGTACTGTCAAATATATTTTAAGACTATGTTCTAATGTATGAAATTGAAGTATTAAAATTAAAATTTGTAGAATTAGAAAAAAACAGTTCATATAATTGGATTAAATTTTCTCTAATTTCATATAGCCTAATGCAACCTAAATCAAATTTTAATTCGTTGAAATTTATATACATACAATATGATCTTTTGCATGATTGACTAATTGTCTAATATATTTTAATTTTCTTATTTATGACAATTTATATATTTTTATAGAATTGAGAATATGCAGATGCCTCGATAGCCTAGTGGTTAGTACCTCTGGTAGATTTTGGGAGTGCCAGACTTAAACTCTTTGCACCTACTAATTTAACTTCTAACCCTTCTTGCCTTGTAAAAAAAAAAAAAAAAAGAATTGAGAATATGTGAACCAAAATTAAATGAAGGAAAACAAAACCAGCTTTGGGATCATCTTGATCATCAATTTCTAGACTAGATTTTGATCTGAAACATAGATATGATGAATGGAATATTCACAAATCGTACATCCTTCCTATCCACACGTTGTCACAGACATAGTGATAAAAGTGACTTTAATTTTGGGCCTTTGTTTACTCCTTCCCAAGTTCCAGGCTGTTTGTATATTGTTTTTGGTGAATTGATTTTGCAAAATTGTGATTTCAAAACCCCAATATTAAAAGCTAAAACAAGGAAAGATTTATGGATATCATGAGACTTGCAATCTTTGACCATTAAAAATGACATATTATGACAGGAGATAATATGATTAATTTGCTTATTTTAAACTCCACTAAATATTTACTATGTAGTGTTCTCAGTTAATGAAAATTCTCTGCTATCAAGAAAAATAGAAAGTTTAGACGTCTTTCCAATAATCACGTACACAACAAATCTAAGAGAGGAATCAAAATCATCTCTAACCATGTTTTCAGTGATTCCATTCGGTGAGTAAAAATCACTTGATAAATGCACAGGAGAATGTGACTGGAGAGGATTTTAATCCCTGAGAGAGACCCACTAACACTTCATCCACAGGATGGAATCACAAAAAAAATTTGACCGGAGAAAATTTTGATCCCTAAAGAGACACCCACTAGTCCCTTATCCATTCTCGTTCAATCAAGGCGTGGGAGAACAATATCACTAATTGTAATTTTTGTTAGCAATATTGAACTCACACTTTGTTTTGCCAATTAACTATCTCAGTTTACATACCTTTTATTTTAATTATTACTTCATTGTGATCTCAAGATTACATGTTTCAAAATAAAATTTTCTTCTTATAAAAGTAAGACATATATCTAATTCTCCTCAAATCAAATCCTGTATTGACTCATATATTGAACTAACCCTTTAGATGACACTAACAACATACGAATTGTCGATGATGTCACTTTTATAGCAAATAGTAACCTCTTTGAGGGGAGGTCAATTTAGGCACTACAATCATAATGTACAAGTCATTAAAATTATCAAATTCACACAGGGCCATTAATTCTCGCAAGTCATAACAGAAGTATTAACCCGTTCTTAGGCCCCAAGTCCAACCCTAGTCTGCCCGAAAATAGATTGGGCCTATACACCTGAATCCTGATCTGACATGGGTCATACATTGGGCCGATGTACCTGGCTAGACCAGCCTGCTTAAGGTCTGGTGTGAAAAGAAAAAAATTGGACCCCTCTTAAGACCTTTGTCCAAGAGGGAGCATGAAAATCATATTTGATGCTTAGAGAGTTGTCCTTACCTCTTATAATTTTTAAATTATTGTGAAACTGTCTCAGGTCACTACACTATATAATGTTAAACTTGCCATGCCATGGTTCGAGGAATATTACATGTTTTCGGATTATATTGTCTCATCAATCATAATTAATCACGTAAGTAAAAAATTGAATAAAGTTAATCAATTTATTACATGTTATTTTAATTGAAACTGAGGACGCTGAGTGCATAGAACAAGACCTGGTTATTAGCTTCATATGAGAAACCGCCAAAAGTCTATTTCTTTATAAATTTTCCTTTAATTTATGGTGGTTTGATTACGAAAGGAGGTGAGGATGAACATTCATCAAATAATCCAAACATTCATCTTTTGTCGCTGTTTTTATCGTACCATGTAATCCACTTTCTCGTTGTAATCTACTCTCTGTTTTGTCTCTGAATTTACAATTTCATTGCCAAGAAACTTCGTTGAATGCAACTTCCTCAGCATCTATTTAAAGGAGTTTAATTTGGCCAAATATCAAAGGCAGAAATAAGCTAGGAAGACCAAGAATAGCTTTTCTTCTGAGCCTATTTCTTTTTATACTGACTTCGAACCCCACATATATTATTTAAACGGAGTATTTTTTTTTTTTTTTTTTTTTTTGTGTGCGCCTTATTACACTTGGATCGTCTGAGTTTTACGACTCGCTTCAGAAAATACTTGTGCGTGATTGTTACTTGGTATGTGCCTACTATCTCAATGAGCTTAATTACTGAATGTGATAGCTCTGTGTTTCACTCAATGTGGTTAGTCATACAACTATATTCCCTCTACTTTTGTTTTCTTATTTTATTTTACTTCCCTGTTTTTTCTATATTGTTTTTTATTTTGGTGAGAGGAATCAAAATAAATGGTCATGAACTTAGGAATCAAATTTAATTCCAACACCATTCTGTGCCTGTAGTTGTCCTTCAACAGGTTCATATTCCTGGTATATCTGGTTGCTTGCTCTCTAGACTCTAGCTAAGTTTGGTTCCTATTTATCTTTAGTTGAGTTAAGGCTATGTTTGGTAGAAGTGACGGACTCAGGAAATTTTGTGAAAGTAAACTTATATAGTGGGTCTATTTTTATAATTTCAATGGGGTTTTCTTCATAAATTTTTAAAAATTTAAAGTATAAAATGCAAAAAAAAAAAAAAAAATCAGTGGGAGCGAATTGTAATTCTAATGGGGGCATCTTCATAAGTTCTCAAAAAATTGAAATATAAAATGCGAAATAAAGAATCCAATGAGGGCGAATTGTAATTTTAGTGGAGAAATCTTCATAAATTCAAAACAATTTAAAGTATAAAATAAAAATATAAAAAATCCAATAGGGGCGTACACCCCACTTGTCCTATGTTGGATCCATGCCTGTTTGATAGAGTGGAAAAGAAAAGAAATGATAACATTAGATATAAGAGAAAAGAAAAGAAAGGAAAAGAAAATAGAGGATATTGTTAACCACTGGTTATGTTTGGTTCATTAGTAAAAGAAAAGATATCAATTATGTTTAGAGAAAGAAAGGAAAGTAAATTATTTAAATAAATTTAGTATCATACCCTTTTTCATAAATTTTGTCTTTTGTTAAGGGTAAATTCGGTATTAGCAAAGTTTCATTAAAAGTGTTAGTCTTCCTCCCATTTTTGAGAGGCTTACAAAATTAATATTACATACCTAATTTGTATCCTTTCAAACCCTTCCATTTCCTTTAAAAAAATTATACTAGACATGCTATTTCATTTCTCTCCATTACCTTTCTTTTCCTTCTTTTACCGTCCAACCAAATTGGGCCTTAAGGTCACTGTAAAGCAATTGTTTTATTTATTTAAATTTTTGTCATCAAATTAAATCTAATTTTCCCTAATAATGCGAAAATAAACTCCACTTTATTTTACTTTCAAAGTGCTTGTGATTGCCCTGTCAATTCTTGGAGGTCGTACATCTAAATAGTCATAAATACATATACTGCATCAATCACAGGATCAACAAAATAATAGTCACAAAGAAGGAAAAATGGAGAAGATGGAGAAGGTGCTAGAGCTGATTAGCTGCACAAACTCCTGCATGATGGAGGACCCACCTAACTGCACAAAAAGCTGCTGCAATGTCATCATTCAGTTTGCAAAAGGACTGATAGTGCCTCTACAGAAAGTGCTAAACTACGAGCAAAGAATCAAATCACCCATACTTTGGATTGGCAACTATGTTGCACTAGCATCTCTAGCATGCGCCCTTGCAATGGCTGCTGATGTCTTCTACGGTTTTCGCCACAGAAAGCCGTGGTTTCCGTGCAAATTTTTCACTCTCAACGCTGCCTCCTTGACATTACTAGCTGTAGCAATGAAGCTGCCGCTGGACCTGAGTAGCGAAATGCCAGGCGTTGTGGACCAGTTGGCGAAACTTAGTGGCACCGCCTTGATGGCTACGACAGTAGCTAATTTTATGCCATCTTTAGGAGGTATGGATGACCGAGAAATTTTCATGAACATAACAGCCTTGGCTATTCTCGTGATCACCATTTTCGTGAATGTCTGCATCCAATTAGGTACACAAGTAATAAATCAGCTGTGTAGGATAGAACACATTGTTGTTTTGTCTTCCATGCTTGTTTTGCTGGTACTATTGTGTTCTTCAGCTTTGACAGTCTCGACCACTAAAAAGAATATAAAATCAAAGTATGGTGATATGGAAAAAATGACTTCAACTGAAGGGTTCACAGTTGAGAAATTGAAAGAGGATGTGAAAAAATATTCGATGATGGCAGAAACCGGTAGTCCACAGTTTGTGATTGCGCGTTCTGTGACATGCTCTGCTTCAGGGGCATTTTGTCTTCTGACTCTCATCACTCTAGCAGAAGTCGAGGTTAGGGCATTGCTTAAGATATATATTCTGTTGAAACATGCTCATATAGACTTCAAAATTGCTAATACTGTGTACCTAATTGGATCGGATTATAAGTCTGCGACCTTTATTATTGTTGTGTTTCAGTCTGTTGGTGTGATAGTAGGTACAATTGGCCCAATATTCAGATGGTTCACCGCTATAAGATTAAAATTCTTAGAGAAAAGAGTCAAGAGCTACAATACTGAGTTGAAAATAGAGAGTTACTGGATCGAAAGGCTAGCACGGTGGAGAGAAAGCCCCTTGGCATTACGAGTTCGGGGTAAAAGAAGTAGAAAACTTGTTCATACAGCAAAGAATCTAGTTTTGGACTATTGTATGGGAGTTCAGATTGGGATTGTTACTGCTAGCAAATTGATTCAGCTCGTCTCTGTTTTCTTAATTATAAAATTGTTGTCATTTGGACAGAGGCTCATATCTAAATATATTGCCCCAAACAATCACACAAGATCAGAATCGGGGCATGGTACAATGATGGATCTTAGCAAATATGTTTTGCATCTCGAAGGTGAAGAGGAGCTACCTTTACAAATGATGAAATACAAAAGGGACGCTACCAATCATTTCATTCAGAAGGGTAAAAAGCAGCAGCCAAAATATTTGAAAGAGCTTCTAGATAAATCTACGACTTTCGTAGGGGTGGCAAAATTTGACAGTGACCGAGTTCCATCTCTAAATTCTGAAGAACCTCCCAATTGTTGGTCTCTTCCCGTGGTTACCCTAACAAGTATCGCCATTGCACTTCCAAAAAATGATAATCACAAGGTGAAGTGGTTGCTTCAAAGCGTGAGAGAAGGCCTCTTGTATGTCAACCTTGTAGAAAAAATCTTGGATGCCAAAGGAGACTTGGTCAGCATAAGTAGTGCAGCAGATGTAGTGTGGTTGGAAGTTGATCTTTTTTGTAGGTGGCTAGATGAAGATCTCCGAAAAATTGCTCTTGAAGGGAAAAACTCCAAGGATGCTCTTGAGAGACTTGCTGACATAGCTAAAAACCATGTCATCGAGTTCGAGGCAATGATTAATGAGGATCTGAAGGAGAACCCTCTGAATTGGCCCATCAAGGCTATTGCTGCTAATTCAATGTACAGAATTTGCCAAACTGTGATGCTGGATTGTGATGGCAACAATGACCGAACTGATGAGAGACTGTTTGAGCAATTATGTGTTATGATCGCGGATATATTGGGTGCTTGCCTTACCAACTTACCGCTTGCCATAACTATGAAATGCTTTTGCAGCGCCATGGAAGAGAGGGAGAAGCATGTCCAACATGCTGCTCAACTTCTTGGTGAAACGGAAGAGATTTTGAATATCCTTCAACAGCGTGAGCTTCCCGGTCTGAATCCTGATAAAATGGCACATATTGATGAGTGGCGTACACTAATCAAGCAGAAGAATTCCTTGGGTTTAACTTCTTCATCCAGTGATGGCACATCTTCTGATTCTAATGAGTTGCTGATAACTGTTGAGTAGGAAGTTTGTCAACTGGTGCATGTGTTTATTTTTATTCTTATTTTTATTTTTATTTTTTAAATGTATTTGTTTAAAGGATTAATTATTGTTATTCATATAGTTTACCAAATTATTACTTTAATTTGCAGTAGATTTGAACAATTTAAAAGATACAAGGATTATTTTTATTTATTTTTGTTTTATTTCAATGGGTTAAAATTATTAGATGATGATTGTTTAAGAATATGTTGTGCTGATCTCAGAAGTTTTTTAAAATATGATGACTATTCTCACATTTTGAAAGAAATTATATCAATACAAACAAACACTCCAAAGGAAAAATAATAAATTATCACGTAATCAATATTTAAAATAATCTCACTGTAAAAAAAAAAAATAATAAAATAAAATAAAATAAAAATTCATTTCAAAGTAACTATAAAATAAATAATAGAAAGTAAAGAAAAATAATAACTTAGTTTGGTCAAATAAAGTCAATATTAAAGATAATAGTTAGTAAAAGGATTTCAATAAGATGTTTTTTTCACTACATAATTTTTAGGGTAAATTACATTGATCTCCCATGAGGTGTGGGAGGTTTAGATATATCTCACATAAGTGGAGCGTTTCAGATTTATTACTTTGACCTCTTATAAGGTTTGGCCTGTTAGGGTGTATGCTCAGCAACCCTGTTTCCATCAAAACTTAGTAAAAAAAATTATAAAATGACCAACTTGCCCTCATAATTATTATTTTTATTTATTTACAATATTTTATTTAGGAGAAGGTAATGGAGAAGAGAGAAAGTAACAAGAGAGATTAGATAGAAAATTATTTTTTTAGATTTTATAATATATTTTGTCTTATAAAAATATATTATATATAAGGGTATAATTAACTTTTTATTATCTTAAAAGAAGTTATAGTAATAAATTTTAATCACTTCACGAGATTTGTCCAAACTTCAATACAGGTAAGTGTAATTTACCATAATTTTTAGGGCAAAATTTCTCAAAACTCCCAAAACTATTAAAAAGTGATCATAAAACCCCAACCAGTTTAAAAAAAACCCCAACAATATAGCAACGTTATCATTTTACCCCAACTCTAACTCTGGTAATTCGCCGTTAAGGGTACGTGAAATGATTAAATTACCCTTATTATATTCTTTTTTATTTAAAAAACCAAAAAATTCATATTTTTGAAATTACAATATTATCCTCTACAGTGTACCTTACAGTGGGTAGAGTATTAAATTCAAACGATGCCAAATTTATGATGGCAGAGGAAGTAGTTGGCACCTGGCCTCTTCACCTAATAAACTGACAAATCTTGACAAGGAGGATAGGTGTGGTATGGGGTACCCTTCTCTTCTTCCTCAAATACAACATGGATCCCAAACTCCTTTACCTTAAGATTAACACCATACCAAAAACCCACTGAAATATTGACTTCATCGCCAGCTTCTATTAATTGATTTGCAAAATTCCAGTGGCTTAACCATACCATGTCGTTGCAGTCCTCTGGAGTGCCCATGAAAGTTGGGCAGTATGTCCACTTCACATCCTTTGTTCTATTACTCACTTTAATCGTGTATAACTCCTTTCAGTAATCTCCGACAGGATGACCAGGTCTTGCATAGACAACGTATACATTCAAGCCTTGGATCTTCAAATTAGGAAATGAAGGTATATTAAAACGTATTGAAGATCCCATACTCTTCATGCTGAACCAGCCTGGAACTTCACTACCAGGGAGAAAAGTACTAAATATACCCAATTCATACAGTCCCTACAACATGAAAATCATAATTTTCAATTTTTAGTTTCTTACCAACATGAGAGAGAGAGAGAGAGAGAGAGAGAGAGCTCACCTGGATGAGAACTTTTCTTTGAGTTAATTGTTGGTCAACTGAAGCTCCAGTAAATTTGACAAGTTTCCTATCTCCCGTCGATCACCTGAAAACCTCCATTAAAGCCGGCGAGAGCAAACCTCGGAATAGTTTCATCAAGCTTCGAGATACTCGCGAACTTTTCAGCAGCAAACTCTAAAATTTCACCGAATAGTTCCGGTGACTGCAACCAACTTCACCAGTGAGCATGTGTAACGACGACGGCGGTGCGACATTCCATTGCTACAATATAGTCGCCACGATGGTGTAGTACTCCACGGCCATGAAAAACGCTTCAATCTCATGAACTCAGCTTTGGTTAATGTAGAACCGTGCAAGTCTTGGAACTCTGTTGTGTCGCCGTCACCTTCGCCGTCGTTTCAGTTTTAGGAGCTCGCTATTGGGCTTTTGCACTGGTGGGCCGAGGTAGCGTGGACATGCACGTTGTCGGACTGAAGTAGGTTTCGCGGAAAATAAATGCACCGGACTGAAATGGGTTTCATGGACATCCTAAACCTATGACCGAATCCATAACCAACTACCTCATCCTAGACTAATGGAGGAGAGAAGATGAACTAAAACGATGACACTGTGGGTGTGTTTTTACTATTACAAGCTTAGGGGTATTTTCGGTATAACACATTTAAATACATATTACTTGTTTGGCACATGTGACAACAGGGGTATTTTCGTCAGAAAAGTCAATTTGTCAAAGCATTTGTTAATCACGCGCTGGGTTAAAGGGGCCAATTGCCAGAGTTGGGGTAAAATGATAGTGTTGCTATATTATTAAGTTTTTTTAAACTGGTTAGAATTTTATGATCATTTTTTAATAATTTTGGTGGTTTTGAAAAATTTGTCCTAATTTTTATTCACTTCTTTTTCAAATATTGATGTCCGCTTCAATACTTGTAGGATCATGACGGCATATGATTCGTAATAAATTACGTGGCATCAAATCATTGGATGTGATTCACCACATTACGTAACCGTTGCCAAAGATTCGATCTTCCATTTTCGCAGCAATATGATTCATTCGTCGCTACACTGAGCACATGATGTTATGCAAAACCAGCGCACACAGAATTAAAAAAGAAAAAGAAAAATTGTACCGTATTAAAACACCACTCAACAATACTCATAAATTTCTCTTCATTCCCAAAGTAGTAGTACCATCGTTTTCTCCGTTTATGTTGTTGTTGAATTGTTTTCAGAAAACACTTTAAAAAAAACTCCCATTTCTCTTCAGATATTTTCGGATCTCCCTCAAATTTGCTTTCTCAATTCAAAAACAACCACTTTTCACGTTTCATTCATCTCTGTCCCGAAGACATTGCTTCGAAAAATGAGCACAGGCGAGCTTCTCAGCATCGAACCCCTCGAGCTCAAATTCCCCTGTGAGTCAATCTCTCGATCTTTTTTTGTTTGAATTTTCTAGGGTTTCTTTGTTCTTATTGTTATTGATTTGAATTTGTTGTTGTTGTTGTTGTTGTTGTGTGTTTTGATTAGTCGAGCTCAAGAAACAGATCTCTTGTTCGCTTCAATTGTCTAATAAGACCGAGAAACCCGTTGCATTCAAGGTAATTACCACAATTGTTTCGGTAAATCAGTGATTTGATGCTTGTGATAGAAATGCCCTAGCAATGCCATGAAATTGAAATGTTAATTTAGATTTGTTTTTGCATGATTGAGAAATTTGAGCCTCGGGTTGTTTATGCTAAATTGAATTATAATTTACACCGAATACGATAAGGGAATTGCTAATTTGATAGCCGATGTAGTTGCATTTGATGCAGACATTAATGGGTGTGGGAATAGCAGCCCATTTTGTAAGAATTGTAATTTTGTTTGATATTTATAAATTTACACATTGTATATGTTTAGGTGAAGACTACGAACCCGAAGAAGTATTGTGTCCGACCAAACACCGGGATTGTTTTGCCGCGATCAAAATGCGATGTCATAGGTGCTTTTTCTAATCACTTTGCTGAAAAGCTATAATGGAAAAGAAAATCAAATTTTGAATCTTTAATATATGTATATGTGTATATATTGCTGCTCCGAGGAGTACAAAAAAATGTTTCCCTCGAAGCACAAGAAAATGTTTCAACCAATGAAGTCCTGCATTATTTTATTTTTTTTCCCTTCCAGTTCTAAATTGTAAAATTCAGACTCAATATTCATCTAATATCTTTCCCTGCATATTCTTTGCAACTGAATAGTGCGACATTGTTGTTCTTATTTTTAGTTTATCAATTTCTATATTTTTGATTTAGTTACTATGCAAGCACAAAAGGAGGCGCCTCCTGAAATGCAATGCAAGGACAAGTTTCTCCTGCAAAGCGTAGTAGCTAGCCCAGGGACAACCCCAAAGGAAATTACCCCAGAATTGGTATTTATATGAAATTGTCTTATTTACCATGAGATTTTTATGACTAACTATGGGTGGCTTATGGCCCTACCACCAATTTTAGTTTTTGATGCTCTTATTTTGACTTTTCATGAGCTCACATGTGGAGTGCAAGAAGTTCTAAAAGTGAAGTTCCAGTGTTTCTGCCCTTAATATATGAAATGGTATTCTTGATAGTTTAATAAGGAGGCTGGACATGTTGTTGAGGAGTGCAAATTGAGAGTGATTTATGTTTCTCCACCCCAACCACCATCGCCAGTTGCAGAGGGATCAGAAGAAGGCTCTTCACCAAGGGCATCCTTGACGGACAACGGGAATTTGATTGGTTCCGAGGTTGCTTATCTAAGTTTATGCGATATTCAGTTTTTCTTTCTCCTTGAAGTTTTAGCGTTTAACATTTATTTCCCACAATCAATACACACAAAAGATATGTAGTCTTAGTGTTGTCAGAGGGGCGCCTAACCTCCAGGCTCATATGAGCGCAACACTTGTGCCCAGTGTGCCTTTGACGACATTTGCACATTTAATATGGGATATGGATATGCTTTAATAGTAATTTAATTTTTCAATTGTGAGCCTTGCCATGCGCCTAGGCTTCAAAGGACCTCTAGCGCCTTGGTGTGCCTTGGGCTTTTGATAACATTAATTTGATTGAGATTATGGCGTTAGATAGAGTGGAATGGAAAAATAGGATACCCTAAATAGTTGGGGAAGGATTTGTTGAGATGAATGAATAAAGACAAAGAATCAAAGATATTGATTGCACACTTTTTTGTTTATACTTGTAGGTTACGAAAGCATTTGTCGAGGCTCATGACAAATCTTCGGAGGTGAATCTCTCTCTCTCTCTCTCTCCACCTGCATATCTAAATTGATTAGACATGCCTTCTTTGTGTGTTCAATTAGTTATTCAATTGGGATATAATGCCGTAATAGTCAACTTTGTATTTGTGTTGTTCAAGTAGTTATTCAATTGGGATATAATGCCATAATAGTCAACTTTGTATTCGTGTTGTTCATATCAATCTACAAATTTTGTAACATGCTTTAGCATAGCTCAGACATCTGTAATTTTATTAGATACTAGCAAGAGCATGTGAAAATAGCATCATCATCATCACCACCCTTGCCTTAACCCATATGAATGGGCTCAACTAGTTAACCCCATGAATTCCTTTTTTTTTTCCCCTTGTCCATTACAAGCTATATCTCCTACAATATTTAACCTTTTGAAATCATTTTTAATAATTTCATCAATGTTTCAGCCAACTTTTCTGTCCCCTACCTTCTATGTAAATTAGCTGTCCTCTTCTCAGTAGTGCATCTATGGGATTCTTTGTATATACACATACCACCTAAGTCTACTTTTTCCTTATTTTATCATTGATAGGCGCCACTCCTAATTTCTCCATCACATTTTGGTTTGTAACCATATCTTGTTTAGTTACTTCTATTATTCATCTTAACGTGTTCAAATTTTTTTTTTTCTTATTCCCTGAATTAACGTCTTCATTTAAGCTATATGAATTTGTCATTCCTGTTTCTTTTTTAATGCCTGCACTTTGCTTCATATAAAATAGTTGGCTTAATAATTGTTTTATTAAAATTTCTCTTTCAATTTTTTGTTATTCTTTTATTTCATAAAACTCCACTAGCCTGTCTCCGTTTTGTCCAAATTACTCTGATTCTACTAGTTATATGACCATCTATCTTTCCATTTTTTGCGTTATTGATCCTAAATATTGAAAATGGTTACCTTGGATAATCCTTTGGTTTTGAAGTGTGGTCATTATTAAATTGATACTATCATATAGTATTTTTAGTAAATGGTTGCCTCTCTGCTACCTGTTAGTAAATGAAATTTGCATTGTCAGTAGATTGAATTATTCTTGCAATTCTTAGTTTTTAAAGGGTCCCATGTAGCCTCATTACTAGGGTAAATGACGAGGTTGAAATTCAAAGCAACTTCTATTCACTGTCTTCAGCCATTTTTGTTGGTTAATTTTTTGAATTTTGGTCTATGGATTTACATCAGCCACTCCAGAGGTGAAATAAAATTCCCACGAGTTTATCAAAATCAAAAGTGGTTGTTCATGTTTGTACTGTTAAGGTGCAGCTATTTTTTCCTGTGTTCTTTTTGTATTCAACCAGTGTTTTGCTCCATCTAACTTGCAGCTAAGGTTATACTCCTCTGTTGATTGCTTGCAGTTCTAGTGCAGTTGGATTTGTGTCAGGGTCCATATACTTGGAGTTCCACTGCAATTGCTATCAGTAGCTTGTGCATGAACTTTTAGTAGCTTGTATTAATCTGCGTAAAATAGAACTTCTGGTTTTATTTCAGGCAAGAGCTCTTATTTCAAAGTTGACCGAGGAGAGGGCTACTGCAATTCAACAAAGTAACAGGCTTCGTCAGGAACTGGTGAGGGATTCATAAATGACTTCATTCTATAATATTTTATATTCTTCTATATTATTATTTTTGTACTAATATCTTGCATTCATGAGTATTTAAGCTGGAATACTTCTAACGTCCTTTCAATATGGTATCACTGTCTCCCCCGTCTCATGTCCAATTTATATTTTTTCAGTGTAGTCATCTTGTACCTCTTTATATGAGTATTTATATGTATTTTTGGTGTGAATGATTAAGCAAAGGTCATTAGGTTAGAAATATGATAAGTTACATTCTATAAAGTATCATTGTATGGGTAATTGAACAAAATGTTGATGCATGATAGCTTGTTAACAATCAAAAAACAACTGGTGTAATTTATAAGAGCATTGCGTCATTGCTGTGCTAATTTAATGACTTTATCCCTTGGGTGTTTCAACAATGAGAATAAGCTTATATGGGATCTTGACATTAAGTAAACTGAATAGATATTTATTTCTCTGCACAATGCTGAATGTAACAATTATTATCTTAGCTTTGTTTAGTATAACTCACGTTTCATAGCTATGGTTTTTACAAATGCAATTATGTACAAAAAAAACGTCATAACATTGTATAAAAGTAAACAGTTGAAATTGCTAATGTTCTGGTAGTGAGAATTGAATTGGTTTTGGGTATGGTTCAAATCAGGTGGAGGGGTTAGTTTTGGTGCAAGAGCATTTCTATGTTACATGGACTCTTCAAAAAGTAGTGAAGTACCCGTGTCGGAGACATATTGCTCTAATATGGGTATGAGATATGTGTCTGGCACTTTTGGTTGGACGTGTACTTAAAAAGTATATCCAATCATTCAGTTTTATTTATATTATTTCTTTGAAATGAGTTAAATGCCTATACTGAATACTATGTTACATAAAATTATTTCTTTATTCTAGAAAATAAAGTAAAATAATTAAATAAAATGAATATTTAGCAGTGTCCATAGTTCCTTCTGTTTGGAGATTTGACACATCCAGCGCATGGATACGTACCGGTACCCGATACACATACCCGAGTCCATATAACATAGGAGCATTTCAGTGCATAACAATGTATTGTTCTGTTAGAAACATTTTTTAATGGAACATATTTCAAAATGATGCACATGGTCTGTTGGTGAAATCATGGATTTTCAAGGATTACTTGACTCAAAACTTATTAAGGCCTCCTAGTTTAGCAAAGAAGATAACAAATAAAAGAATCCATTTTAAAGTTTGCAAGATCTAAGAGCGAGTTCAGTCTGTTCAGAATAATGTCTCTTGTGAAGAGTTGGCTGTGTAGTTCGTTTTCTTTATCACCTGTACTATAAAGAACTTGTGCCCCCCTTCTTGTAGTTTTAGGTGTGCTTAGTGAATACCAAATCTGCTCAGCAATCATATGACATGCATCCAAGTTGATATGATTTGAGGGGGTTGACGTTCTTCTGGATTCCTTCTATGTTTTTTTCTTTACTTTAATTTTGGAAGTGATAGAAGTTGACCCAATATCAACAAATTATTTTCATTGTATTGGTAGAGATTAAGAATAAAGAATGAACCTTGTGTTCCAAGGTTATCCAGTGGAATGTGCTCTCCAAGTTGGGATAGATTTCTAATAACTCTTTGACATTGTTTGAGCACAGGTTATGTTGTCTATATCTTTAAAATTCACTTTAAGTTACCTCCGCCGTAGTGTATGTTTCTTCCTTTTAAATTAGTTCATTTCTTATTATAAAATGGTCTTAGTTTTGTGGGTATTAGTTTACAAACATGGTAGACATTTTCGGATGTTTGACCACTTTCCTTGAATTTCCCTGAGTTTTCGGATTGGTAAAGAAGAAAAAAAGGAAAACAAGGTTTCAGGGTAGGATAAAATGTTATTCTTGCTTCAAAGCTGTGCTGTTAATATGATAATTTAATTGTTTGTTATATGTTACTGTTTCCTTTGAACCATGGAAGTAGCTCATCTCTATGAGATTACAATGTGTAGGAACTCTTGAGGCGTGACAGCAACAAAAGTTCTGGTAATGCCTCGTTCATGTTTGTCATCATTGTCGGGTTGCTTGGCATCATTTTGGGGTATCTCATGAAGAAAACATAACCGTTAATCCGGTTTCGTTCATGTTTGTCACCATTGTCGGGTTGCTTTGGCATCATTTTGGGGTATCTCATGAAGAAAACATAACCATTCATCTGGTATTCATCTTTTGCCTTAAATTTTTCCCTACAATTTCTGTGTACTCCACCATAAAAAATAAAAAAAAAACAATGTAGAAAAGAGAGGAAATTCAGGAGGGGAGAGGGTAGTGTTTTTATTTAACTTTGGGGCAAAAGAAAAAATGTTTAGGTGGTATAATGGCCTTTGTAGTTATTAAAAACTGCAAACTATTGTTTTGGTGACTCATGCTTCGTTAACATGCATTCTACTGGTAATTTAAAGATTTCTTCTTTGTTTCTCTTGTGGTTCAATACAATAGATCCTGGAAATGCTTGAAATACTGGGCACTGGTTTGGTGCAGTGAAGTGGTTATTATTTTACATTTTTTATTTCTCTCTAATTTGTTGCAATAATCCTGCTGGACTTGTCAATCTTATTCATCTTACGACATGTGTTATAGCTTGCTAATGTTCCAAGATGTGTTTTCTGAAAGTCTCTTACAATATATGGCCAAGAAATGTCTTTTGAGTCATTAAGAATATGGTTCATTTTGCTGTTCTGTTTTTTGGTTCCAATTTCAATTCAGTTTGTTTTGATGGGAAGAATAGAAATAACAAATGCTCCCAAAAATGGGCTTTGAATATATAAATTTAGAGGGCATGTCAACCACTTTCTAAAGAATTCCAACCTTTTTTGCTCACGCCCAAATTCAAATTTTTTCCCTCATTTTTTAGAATAGGGATGTTATACCATTGGGTTACAAGCCCTAACCCGTTGGTAAGACTTGCAAAGTTGTTGCCAATGTTGAAGAGAGGTTATGCCACATTGGCTTAGTTCATTTTTGTGCTATTCACTGTATTTGATTATTTTTGTTGATGGGTTGTCTAATTGATAATAAGGAAGTGGAATGACTTCATTACCCTATTTTTAAGAGAATTATTGAATATATATGTGTATGTGTGTGTTAGCAAACGAATATATTTCTCTTAAAAATAAGTTAATGACTTACCACCTTATTAATGGAGAATTAACCACAAGAGAAAAATTATTTATTGTAATCGTTGCAACGTTGACGTGGTACAAAAAAATATAAACACTTCACTAAAGTATATGTATCAGTTTTTTTATATTATTTCTTCGCTTTTTTATTTTATTGTAAATTCATTTTATTTTGATAGAGTGTCTGTCAGTTGTTTCAGTATATGTATCACCTGACAGCTTTAGCTGCCAAGTGCAATTAATCCTTTAAAAGTGGGAATGAGCCAATTGTGCATCATCTTGAGGGGATTAATGAGTCCGAAAATTGTTTTAGCTTTCATGATGAGGGGATAAATGAGTCGGAAAAGTGTTTTAGTTTTCATGATTAGTGTTTTGGCGGGAAATTTGTCAATTTGGGAAACAAATCTGGTCAACCTCATATACAGTCACACAAACTGAGAATACCACCCATCGGTGCTTTTTGGTCCCAATTTCAATTCAGTTTGTTTTGGTCCGGCCATAGTACTAGGCCATTAGGATCATCAATCAATTATATTTTATTACATAATTAAGAATATACTGTAATTATTTTGTGAATTTATGTACATATGGTACCTTATTCAATTTGTTCTGATACACAAAAAATAACTATGCACCCTATGATATACTTGCCCGTTTACAACTATAACATGATACTCCCGGACGAAGGAATCAAACGACTTTCACCCTACCTCTGCACAATAAATATTTTTTTATTATTTCTCCTTTTTTTTTTTTGGTTTGTTGATCAAGGGTCTACAGAGCATTGAACTTTAAACTAAGTACAGAAATGAGAAGAAAAAAGATCATATCTAATAAATATAAATAAATTAAAAAAAAAAATTAAAATCATGTGTTCACTACCAAGTAAATATCAAACACAATATTCTGGCGTCTAACCAGATCAAACTCCTCACAGACCATTCATTCCGAATTATTATTTGAATAAGGATATTACATTATACTAAAGGTCAAACTTTACAGGAAAATAAAGCAATTTTAATCAACTATAACTAGGTTGCATACAGTTTCTGTACACTCTTAGGGTGTGTTTGGTAGGGTTGATTTGGAGGGATAGGGAGAGAAAAGAAAAGAGAGGATAGTGTAAGTTTGTATTTGGGTAAGTTAAGTGGATGGATAGGGAGGGATAAGGAGAGATAGAGAGATAGCTATCCCTCCTTATCTCTTATTTGTTTTCTCTTCAATTTTGAGAAGATAGAGAGAGAAAGGATGGTGATTTTAGTAATATTTTGATAATACCAAAATTAGCCTCCACAAATCAATACATAAATTTATTATTTCATTCAAGTCCCATGGTTATGAAAGGGTAAAAAAGTAATTTGTCTATTATCATTTCTTTTCTTTTCTTTTCTCTCCTCTGTCTTATCCAAACAAGAATAACTATTTTTTCTTTTCTTTTCTTTTCTCCCCTATCTATCCAAACACAAATAAAAATTATTACTATCATTTCTTTTCTCACTAATACAATCCTTTCTTTTCTTTTCTCTCCTCTCCTCTTCTCTCGTAACTAATACTATCCAAACAGACCCTTGAGTGATAGTAGCACCATACAGTGAGGTCCAAAACTTGATTGAAAACCATTTCAAGTTCGTCTAATAATTATAGTAGGTCTCCATTTCCTTCACTCACCACCTCTCACACACAGTCACACAGTGGAATATCCAGAAACCCCTATAAAAGAAAAGCTCCATCAATGGCGTGTTCAAGACCTCTCACCACCGCGTCAAGCCTCTTCCGCCGCCTCCACCGCCTCACCACTCACTCGTTCAGTACAGGCCATCCCACCAACACAAATTTCCGAAACTCCTCCGGTACTAATCGTCTTCTCACTCAAGTTTCTACACAGTTTCCTTGAAAATCTATATATATGTGTGTGTGTGTGTGATTGATTGTGTTTTTATATATAGGAGTGGGTGATGCGATCGAGGCCAAAAAGAGAATGAAGCTTGTGAATGATAGCTTCTACTGTATCAGCGTAGACGTGCCTGGTCTGACCAAAAATGAATTGAATATGTGGTTGGATGCCAAGAAAGATATACGATACGAAGGAAAGTGCAAGGGCGAAGCCAAGTATGGTGATGTGGGAAGGTTGTACAAAGGAACCATTGAAGGACGTCCATTATTGATCCGTGTCTGTGATATGGACCAGCTCAAGGCGGAGCTCAACCATGGTGTTCTTTATATAACTCTGCCACTCAAAGAAGATGCCAAAATGCACATACAGAGGAAACGCGAGAAGTTGGAGAAAGAGAAAGGGCAGCTTTGATCTTTGATTTGGGGGTTAGGGTTCTGTGTGTTTGATTTGGGGGTTAGGGCTTTGTGTGTTTGATTTTTGGATATATGTTGAATGGAAGAATGGTTTTTTGGGTACTATTTAAGCAACTGATGATGATAATTTATAAAAAATTCACTTAGAAACAAGGATATAATTGAAACAAATATATAATGATATAATTTTCGCATATTTTGTGGAAAAAACATAAGGAGCAAAATAAATCAGTTGCGGAAATATAAACATCTAAAGTTAATACATTTGTTTATATATTGTTTTTTATCGGCCGGGGATAACTTGATAATTTTTGGGTAGTTTTTTATTTGATCTATGTACTGTGTAAAGATTTTAAATAATAGAAAATTACAAATAACAATATATCAATTTAATTGGTGCACAATGAACAATATATTTTTTAATAAATAAATAACCCAATTCAGTATTGGTGGGTTGGTAAGTTCAAGTATTATGGTTCATAACCCAATTCTTGTATCAGTTTCAGCAGTAACAATGACTTTGAAAATGTTTTTGAAGAACAATTATGTTTATTTCAAGATTATTTTAAAAGGTAAAATTTGTCAATTTGAAAAACAAATATGAAAAAGAGATTTCAAAACCTAAAACTATATAATGCTTTTATCAATTTTATACTGTCACATTCTTATTTATAGCTTGGTTAATGAAATTCATGAATGGGAAAATGAAAATGTGCCCTACAGTTTGCTTTAGGTTATGTCAATACCATTACAAATTTTGTTTTTGACCAAAAAGGTTACACTGAATCTGATTTCTTAGAGTTGTGGACTTGCTCTCTGATTTATTTAGTTTAATTCTTAAATATTATATGAAGATTGCTTTGGACATTCGACTTTCAAACGTTAAATAGAAGGTTGTCTCATATTCTGTTTTTAAGTAATATAAATTTATATATAAAATGTTATAAACTTTCTAGCTATTTATTATTGATAAACAATGTACCTTTTCTTTTCTTTTCTTTGCTTTTCTTTTTTTTTTTTTGTCTTTTTTTCCTGGCAAACAGAAAAACAACACAACAAAAATTATCTAGAAATATCCAGCACATCCGGAACAGCAAGATCAATAATTGATGGTGGCACAGAAAGAAGAATCCAATTGGAATGAATAGATTCCGAGATAAAGACGCAATAGCATGAGCCACCTTATTTCCAATACCTACTAAATGTAACTATTGATTAAAAGAAATTTAAAATCATGTGATAAATATTTGATTGCTCTCTATTAAAGACCTGATATCACTTACGGAGTACTAATTAAATATAAACAAGCAAGAATAAAATCCATTAAAACAAAACACTCTTAAAGACGTTTATTGGATAGGACTTAGAAAGAGAGTTTCAACTTTTGGATGTACAAGGAAATGGCCTGACCCGCGCACTGATGGAGAAAGTGGGACTTCACGAATCAACATGCAATATCAAAGAAGAGGTGCTGTCCAGTTTCTATCTAACTCATAGGAGTGAGTCCCCTAAGCACGTAAAGGTAAAGCCACAATAGGGCATGCCCATACGGAATTAGTTGTTACCTTTCTACAAACGACTCCACTCTTTATCTTCATTCATATTTAGTTCACTTTTCATGGAAGAAGTCATTGCCCAATCCTCAGATTTGGCTTGTGATGTGATAGTCAGGGGAAAACCATTTTATTTTCTACTGATGTCCCTCTCAACTATACAAATAGATGTATTTTCACACAAGATGAATTTATTGTCTTTGTATTAAGCTTGTATTAGGAGTGTATTGGTAGATAAATTTTGATGCAACTAAATGATTTTTTTTGGTATTAAATAATTGATATGAGGAGTTCTCAATACAAGAATTTTAATTGCCTTCAACGATTTGAAACTTTCAATAATAGTATACATATAGATTTAATTCTTGGTAAATACAAGCTTCCACAACTTCAACACCAATTGAATGGGGCATCCAAATTCTATGTAGATTGGAAAAAAAATTATATGGTCCAATTAAAACTCAACATGCAAAAAAATAATAATAAATAATTAAATCTGAATAGAGCTGATACATTTACTTGCATCTCGAGTTGTGATTGACTGGCATCATGTAATACTAGGCTATTCGTGTTGATTGCTTGATTAAGAAAGGACAATGAGTTTTTTTTTTTTTCCAAAAATTGAAGCAATTTATAAATATAGAATATGTGCAACAAAATGAGTTCTTTGGCCCAAGACAACCCAATCTGGATCCACGAATGGACCATTGAAACAATCACAAGTAACAAGAAGACTAAGCCCAAATGCAAAGGCACCAAAAGAATCAAAATTTAAAATTTTAGTTTTAGAGAAAACAAAAATAAAAATTACGTACCTGAGTCTTAAAATTTCACTTCTTTTATTGCCAATCCAAACAACAGAAAAAAAGCTACTCCTATTGGCCTGGACATTGATAATGTCTTCTCTCTTTGGAATCTTGACATTGAGCACACCATTCTTGAGGTCCGCTGCAATCTCTTCCACCTTGTAGCAGCCCTGAGGGATGTCCATGTCACCGGAGTACTTCCTCCGACCTAAGGCTGATAAACTCTTTCCCTCCTCCTCCTCCTCCTCCTCCTCCTTTTCCTCTCCATTTACGTGCAGAGTGTTGTTTTCAATCCACATCTTCAGCCCTTCTATTCCCATTCCCGGCATGTCCCACCTTGCATACATGGCTTTCTCATCTTTCACCACCTTGTAGGGGATCGGTGATGACCCTTCTTTCATAAATTGATTCACCAGCTGAGAAACTGCACAACGATCCAGAGTTAGACAAATTAAAATAGTCAAATACAGGGACTAGAGCTAAAACAAACTAAGCCAATAATGTATAACCTCTCTTCAACATTGGCAAAAACAGTAGAATTTTTATTCTTTTTATTTTCCTTCTTGGTACTCACATCACCACCCTCTAAGAAATTGTTTAAAATAGGAATAGACTATTTTTCAATGTCCATCATCAAATGAATTTCTCAGTTTTTAGTTCCGTGATATACATTGGAAATTTTACCCTAATTCTAAAAGAGAAGAAAGGGGAAAAAGTAAAAACAGGTTTAATTCATGGGGAATGCTAAATTGAGGATCCCACCAACCAAGGCTGGAGATCAACGTTTCTACATTTTTCATCGTTGGCAAGGCTAAAGAGGAAAAGGAATCACCTGTGGAACATCTATATTCAATACCATTTTGGGAGCATTTCTTATTTTCTATACTTTCCATCAAAACAAACTGAATTGATATTGGGAGCAAAAAAAAAGAAAAGCAAAATGAACCCCATGTTCTTAAGACTCGAAGACATTTCTTGGTCCTATATTTCAACAGACTTTCAGAAAACACATCTTGGACATCATACTTGGAACATTGGTAAGCTGTAAGATGAATAAGATTGACAAGTCTGGCGCGATTATAGAAACAAATTAGGGAGAAACAAAGAAGAAATCTTTAAATTACCAGATGAATGCATGTTAACAAAGCATGAGTCACCAAAACAATAATTTAAGGCAAAAGATGAATACCAGATGAATGGTTATGTTTCCTCAGGAGATATCCCAAAATAATGCCAAGCAACCCAACAACGGTGACAAACATGAACGAAACAGGAAGAACAGTTTTGTTTTCTTCATGGGATACCTCAAAATGATGCCAATCAAAACCCAACAATGACAACAAACATGAATGAGGCATTACCAGAACTTTTGTTGCTGTCACGCCTCAAGAGTTCCTACACATTTTAATCTCATAGAGATGAGCCACTTCCAGGGTTCAAAGGAAACAGTAATATGTAACAATTGAATTAATATCAACAGCACAGCTTTGAAGCAAGAATAACATTTTATCCTAATAAGAAATGAACTAATTTAAAATGAAGAAACATACACTATGGATGAGGCAACTTAAAGTGAATTTTAAAGATATAGACAACATAACCTGGGCTCAAACAATGTCAAAGAGTTACTAGAAATCTATCCTAACTTGGAGAGCACATTCCACTGAATAACCTTGGAACACAAGGTTCATTCTTTATTTTTAATCTCTACCAATACAATGAAAATAATTAGTGGATATTGGGTCAACTTATATCACTTTCAAAATTAAATTAAAGAAACAAATAGAGAAGCAATCCGTCAACCCCCTCAAATCATATCAACTTGGATGCATGTCACGTGATTGCTGAGAAGATATGGTATTCACCAAGCACACCCAAATGGAGTGCAGGTTCTTTATAGTAAGGGTTATAAAAAAATATGAACTACACACTCAAGTCTTCACAAGAGATATATTCAAAACAGACTGAACTTGCTCTTAGATCTTGCAAACTTTGAAATGGTTTCTTTCAATTAATTGTTATCTTCTTTGCTACACTAGATATATATATATATTCATATAAAGATAAACATGCATCAACATTTGTTCATATAAATTGTAAGTTTACTATCTCAAGTAGCTAAAAATTTATAAATTGTGAGTTCATATAAAATACCACCACTAACCTATCCTTTTTCAATAGGTATGTAATTTGGAGAAATTTTTACATGGTCCAGGACTACATAGTTCCGACCAATTAAAACTTGACACGCAAGAAAAACTCCGAATAAAGTTAACACATTTGCTTACATATCGAGTTGTGATTGATTGGGATTACAAGTAATCCCAGACTCTCTCATGTTCTCTTGACTAATGGACCAAAATTTCTTAGATTTAAGAAATGACAAGGAGTCGGCAGTCGCATTCATTCATAAGAAAGTAGCAATTTTTTGGACAATGGCTGGCAAGCCCTATTTACTTTAGTGATTAATTTCACATTAAACACTCATCCTTCTAGATGAATATTCATTTTTAAAAAAATACTTGCCCACAACCTAAAGTTCCCGAAACTGTTGTTCATATTGTTCCAAGTGAAAACAGTAGAAGAGGTCCGTAGTTGTCTCATAAGAGTGAAAAATGTGGGGTGTGGTTATATAAGCCTCTCAAAGTTCAAAAGGAACACATAAAATTCCCCATTTTGTATAATAAGAAGATATTCTATTTCAAGATTTTATGGGGAAAGAAAAGCCCATAAATATATCACTTTATAAGGGAAAGCTCAAGTATAGGCCTGGTGGAATTAGAAAAATCACAACATACCTGTTTATGATACGAATAGACTATTAGACATGCTTCAACAATGAGTTACTCAGTTTTTAGTTCTGTGGTATGTGATATTGTGGCCTGAATTTGGTGTCAGGTTGCGTTGCGACCCGCTTACAACCCCCGACAACCGAATTTTTTTGACCCATTTTTGCTCATGGGTCATGGACCCCTAATTAGTCTCTTGTAGCCCGATATATAAGGGCTCTTAGGGTTCGGAGTGGTGTAAGAGAGAGACTCTGAAATTCGTACAGAAACAAAGTGGGGCAGAAAACTTGTAATCTCCGATTTTATACATAGTGAAGACTTTTGCCGGATCTTCACCGTGGACGTAGGCAATTGCCGAACTACGTATAAATCTTTTTGTTCTTTGTGATATATTTATTTTTCCGTCGTGTTGCTTGGTTCACTGCGTTTATCGTAATTCTCAAGAAATCCCACAGCATATTATTAATTTCTGCGATGGAGATCAAAGCCTCTGTATTTTCCATCGTCTGTATAGCTGAAGAGGAAAAGGTCTCACCTGCAGAACATATATATCCAATACCATTTTGGGAGTACTTGTTATTTCTATTCTTTACATCAAAACAGACTTAATATTGGGGGATCAAAAAACAGAAAAGCAAAATGAACCATGCTCTAAAGACACAACATATTTCTGGGCCTTATATTTCAAGAGACTTTCAGAAATCACATTTTGGACTCAAACTTGTAACATTGGCAACCCATGTAACACGCATGGTAAGATGAATAAGATTGAAAAGTCCAGCAGGATTATCTGATAATAGCAACAAATTAGGATGAAACAGAAACATAAACACTTCACTGCACCAAACCAGTGCACAGTATTTCAAGCAATTCCAGGATCTCTTGTATTGAAATACCAGAAGAAAACATGTTAACAAAGCATTAGTCACCAAAACAATAATTTGCAGTTTTTACCAACCACAAAACCAAATATCCCACCTAAACTGTTTTTCTAATGCCCCAAAGTTAAATTAAAACACTACCCTTTACTCTGAATCTCCATTTTTTTTTTAATTTTTTTGGGTGGGGTAAAGAGAAATTGTAAGTTATATACGGCAAAAGATGAATACCGGATGAATGGTTCTTTTCTGCATGAGATACCTCAAAATGAACCCAAGCAACCCGACAATGATAACAAACATGAACGAAACCGGACAAATGGTTATGTTTTCTTCATGAGCTACCCCAAAATGATACCAAGCAACCAGGTAATGATGACAAACATGAACGAGGCATTACCAGAACTTTTGTTACTGTCACGCCTCAAGAGTTGCTACACATTGTAATCTCATAGAGATGAGCCACTTCCACGGTTCAAAGGAAACGGTACTATATAACAAACAATTAAATTATATATCAACAGCACAGCTTTGAAGCAAGAATAACATTTTATTCTATCCTTACACCTAGTTTCCCCCTTTTTTTCCCCTTCTTTACCAATCCGAAACTCACGGAAATTCAAAAATACCCTACCATGGAACACAACGTTAATGATGACAAACTCAGGGAGAGGTAACTTTATGTGAATTTTAAAGATATAGACAACGTACCCTGTGCTCAAACAATGTCAAAGAGTAATTAGAAATCTATCCTAACTTGTTGAGCACATTCCACTGAATAACCTTGGAACACAACGTTCATTCTTTATTCTTAATCTCTACCAATACAATGAAAATAATTAGTTGATATTGGGTCAACTTCTATCACTTTCAAACTTAAAATTAAAGAAACAAAAAGAGAAGGATTCCAGAAGAACGTCAACCCCCTTAAATCATGTCAACTTGGATGCATGTCATATAATTGCTGAGCAGAAATGGTACCTAAACACTACAAGTGAAGGGAATGCAAATTCTTTATAGTAAGGGTTATAAAGAAATCGAACTACACACCCAATTCTTCACAAGAGACATTATTCTGAACAGACTGAACTCGCTCTTAGATCTTGCAAACTTTGAAATGGATTCTTTCATATATTATCTTCTTTGCTACACTAGGTAGCCTAACGAAGTTTTGAGTCAAGAGTAATCCATGAAAATCCATGATTTCACCAATTACCATGTGCATCATTCCAAAATATGTTTCCAATTGAAAATGTTTCTAACAGAACAATACATTGTTATGCACCGAAATACTCTTACACCAACGGTCCAACACTTACCCGTCCACCTGAACAGAAGCATACCCAAAAGGCCAAAACCAAATCAACCCTCTCCACCAGAACATAAGCAATTATGACATTATTTTGTACATAATTGCATTTGTAAGGACCATAGCTATGAAACATAAGTTATACTGAACAAGGCTCAGATAATAATTGTTATATTCAGTATTGCACAGAGACAACTAAATATCCATTCAGTTTACTTAATGATCAAGATCCCATGTAAGCTTATTCTCATTGTTGAAACACCAAAGGGATAAAGTCATTAATTAGCACAGCAATCGGCACAAATCTCTTATAAATTACACCAGTTGTTTTTCTGATTGTTAACTAGCTCTAAGTATTCATGCATCAACATTTTGTTCAATTACCCATACAATGATTCTTTATAGAATGTAACTTCCATATTTCTAGCCTCATGACACCAAAAATACATAAATTTATATATTCATATAAAGATATACATGATGACCAAAGACACTGAAAGAGATAATTTTGACATGAGATGGGGTCGACAAAGATACCATGTTGAAAGGACTTTAGAAGTATTCCAACTTAATATGGAAGAATATAAAATATTATAGAATGAAGTCGTAAATGAATCCCTCACCAGTTCCTGAAGAAACTTGTTATTTTGTTGAATTGCAGTAGCCTTCTCCTTTGTCAACTTTGGAATAAGAGCGCTTGCCAGAAATTAAACCAAAAGTTCTATTTTACGCAGGTAAACACAAGCTAATAAAAGTTCATACATAAGCAAGCTACGGATGGCAATTGCAGTGGACCTCCAAGCATATGGACCCTGACACAAATCCAACTGCAGTAGAACTGCAAGCACTCAACAGAAGCGTCTAGTCTTAGCTGCAAGTTGGATGGAGCAAAATACTGGCTGAATATGGAGAGAACATAGAAAAAAATAGCTGCACCTTGACAGTACAAACAAACATGAATGACCAATCTTGATTTTGATAAACTCGTAGAAACTTTATTTCAACTGTGGAGTGCTGATGTAAATCCATAAACCAAAATTCACAAAATTAACTAACAAAAATGGCTGAAGACAACGAATTGCTTGGACTTTCAAGCTCATGTTTAACCCCAGTAATTGAGGCTACATGGGAGTATGGGACACGTTAAAAACTAAGAATTGCAAATTCAATCTACTGAAAATGCTACTTTCGTATGCTAAAAGGTAACAAAGAGGTAACTATTTACTAAGAATGCTATACGATGGTATCAATTTTATATGATGGTACCACACTTCAAAACCAAAGGATTATTCAAAGTAACCATTTTCAATATTTAGAATCAATACCACAGGAAAAAAATATATATATGGAAAGACAGATGGTCATATAACTAGCAGAATCGGAGTAATTTGGACAAGACGGAGACAGGCTACTGGCGTTTTATGCAATACAACAATAACAAAAAAAAAAAAAACAGAAAGAGAAATTTTAATAGAACAAGTATAAGCCAACTATTGTATATTGTGCAAACTGCAGGCATTAAAAAAGAAATAGGAATGATGAATTCATATAGCTTAAATGAAGGTGTTAAAATGAATAATAGAAGTGACTAAAAAAGATATGATTCCTAACCGAAATGTGATGGAGAAATTAGGAGTGGCACTTATCAAGGATAAAATAAAATAAAATAAAAAATACTTATCAAAAAATAAATAAATAAATAAAAGTGGACTTGGGTGGTATGGATATATATATACAAAGAAGCCCTGTAGATGCACCAATAAGAAGAGGGTAACTAATTTACATAGAAGGTAGGAGACAGAGAGGGTGGCTGAACATGGTATGAAATTATTAAAAATCATTTCAAAAGATAAATGTTGTAGGAAATATAGCTTGTAATGGACAAGAATAAAAAGGACATCATGGGCTGAGCCCATTCATAAGGGTTAAGGCAAGGGTGATGATGATGATGATGCTACTTTTAGATGCTCTTGATAGTATCTATAAAAATTACAGATGTCTGAGCTAGACTAAAGCATGTTACAAAATTTCTAGATTAATATGAACAACACGAATACAAAGTTGACTATTATGCATTATATCCCAATTAAATAACTAATTGAACACACAAAGGCATGTCTAATCAATTTAGATATGCATGTAAGAGAGAGAGAGGGAGAGTTTCACCTCTGAAGATTTGTCATGAGCCTCAACAAATGCTTTTGTAACCTACAAGCATCAACAAAAGAGTGTAGAATCAAAAAATTTTATTTTTTGTGTTTATTAACTCAACTCAACGAAGCCTTCCCCCAAATGTTATCATATCATTTGTGTTTATTAATTGTAGGCGAGAAAACTAAAAAGGAGAGAGAAAAATTAAATATTGCATAAGCTTAGAGAACCAACCTCGGAACCAATCAAATTCGTGTTGTCCATCAAGGATGCCCTTGGTGAAGAACCTTCTTCTGATCCCTCTCAATGGTGGTAGGGGTGGAGAAACATAAACCACTCTCAATTTGCACTCCTTGACAAAACGTTCAACCTCCTTATTAAACTATAAAGCATACCATTCATATATTAAGGACAGAAACAGTGAGACTTCACTTTAAGCTTCTTGCACTCCACATGTGAGTGCATGAAAAGCCAAAAAAAAAAATCATCAAAAGCGAAAATTGGTGATAGGGCCATGGGTCACCCATAGTTAGGAATAACAATCTCATAGTAGATAAGACAACTTCGTATAAATACCAATTCTAGGATAATATCCTTTGGGGTTGCACTGGGGCTAGCAGCTACTCTTTGCAGGAGAAACTTGTCCTTGCATTGCACATCAGGAGGCGCCATCAAAAGGATAGATATTAATAAACTAAAAATAAGAACAACAAGGATGCCCTGTTTAGTTGCAAAGAATATGCAAGAAAAGAAAATAGATGAATACTAACTCTCAAATTTACTATTTAGGACTGGAAGATAAAAAAAAAACAATTAACAATTCTGACAAAAAAAAAATGCAGGACTTCATTGATTGAAACAATTTTTTTCCCCTTCCTGAAGCAGCAATACACACACACACACACATATAAAAGATTCAAATTTTGATTTTCTTTCATTTACAGCTTTTCAGCAACCAACAGATGATGAGTAAAAATGAAACCGAAGCAATTAGAAAAAGCACCTATGACATCGCATGTTGATAGCTGGAAAACAAATCCAGTGCTCGGTAGAACACGCAATATTTCTTCGGGTCTATCGTCTTCACCTAAATATATAAAATGTGTAATTTTTACATATCAAACAAAATAAGATTCTTATAAAAAGGTCTGCTATTCCCACAGCCATAATGTCTGCACCAAATGCAACCACATCTGCTGTCGAATTAACAATTCCCTTATCATATTTGTTTTAAATTATAATTCAATTTAGCATAAACAAAAATACAATTCTATTTTTCCATTCCACTCTATCCAACACCGTAGCATCAGGGAATTTGTTACAAATTTTCAAATGTTAGGGATTTATATGCACATACAAAATAGCAAAATTCAACTTCCAAAAGTAAGAACATTAGTAAAGCAGACAGATATAAAAAAAGGAGCCAAAACCAAAAGGATCTATACATCAAAACCCTAAATCCCAAATCAAATTATTCGGAGTATTCCATATTTCTCTGCCATTTCTTAGCATATTCATTGAGTGGCAGAGAAATCCAGAGGACACCATGCTTCAACTCAGCCTTGAGCTGGTCCATTTCAAGGACCCATGGACCATTTTCAATGACACCTTCGTATAACCTTCCCTCATCCTCATACTTGGGCTGGCTCTTGCACCTTCCCTCAAACCTTATAACTTTGTTCTCGTCCACCCACAATTTCAGATCCTCTGCGGTTAGACCTGGAACGTCAAATCTTATGCAGCACAAGTTATTGTTCACCACATTCATCTCATAATCTGGTATTTCCACTTTCACTGGTCCTATATATTAACAGTCAATCACATATATAAGAGCAGCGATATTATACATGCATTCATTTGAAGTAAACATGTACATACATGTATACGTATAGATTGTAAAGGAAGCAGTACTGTAGAAATTAACTTGAGTGAGAAGAAGATTAATTAGTACCAGAGGGGTTTTGGGAATTGACATTGAAGGGATCGCCTGTACTGAATGAGTGAGCCGCTGAGGGAGAAAAAGCAGTGAGACGGTGGTGGTGGGGGTGGAGGCGGCGGTGGATGGACCTGGCAAAGAAGCTTGAAACGGTGACAGCTTTTCTCAACGACGCCATTGTCCGTTTTCTCTCTCTAGTTTCAACCTGGTTAGAGAGAGAGAGTGTGTGAGACATTTTATTCGATGGACTTGAAATTGGTTTTCAATTATTAAACTTTGGATATGGATTGACAGGTATGCCCTCACTGGTACTCTCAAGTCTCAACTAGTAGGTGCCACGTTATTGGACCTTGGAGTACACGGAAACTGTATACAACCCTGTTGTTGTAGTTAAAGTTAATAAATTGTTTTAGAAAATTGTGTTTGATATTATTTGTTTCGATATATATTCACGTGAGGAAGAGGTAGTGAAACAAAAAAAAAAAAAAAACTTTATTAAAAGTTCAGTCTACATCTGGACAAAAAATTTCTCACTGCAGTGTCCAAAAACATACTTTCCCCGATTTAAAATAATTGTCTTTCTTTTTATTATATTTCATTTTAAAATTAAATGTATTATTTTTTATAATATTTTTAAACTATACTCTTATTAATATAATAAAAAATTATTAAAACACCATTACCATATAAAGTTGGTTTCGCCACACAAGAGATGTATATCTAGACAGAAGAAGTATTTATACACTGATTGGTACACACGATACACACACACACAAGATATATATATATACACGCGTCGTACGGATATCAGAGATTTTGTTCCCCCAACAGGGTGCTGCGCACCTTATCAGTACTCTCTCTATTTTTATATATATAGAGACTTATTTAACCATTAGAGATATTTGGTTGGGCAATTTAGTTACACTTTTTAAGGCATCAGGTAACTTTCTAGTTCCTATACATAATTATCCGCACCTTTTTCGATTATATAACCCGATATTCCAATTAAGAATGCATGATCAATGTTTATTTGAATTAATTAAAAATAATTAAACATCTCTAAATCATGTTTCATATTGTAACGACTTGGTGTAAATTAATCGAATTAATTAATTTATGCAGGTGTGTAACGGTGTGAAACTATTACAAAAATATTACAAATCATGATTGATTTAAACCAGTGAGTTAGTCTCTTCATCACAGATTTGTAAATTAAATATATATATATATATATATAGATTTTTAGGAGAAGTCCATTTCTTTAGGTTTCACTTTCACACCTTATATTTTACAAAATATGTGCGATAAATATATAATAATATAACAATCTGCTTTCTATATTGCGAATTTGAGATATATGGCAGTTTATTTTCTTATCGTATTTTATATTTATTTATTTATTATTATGTGGGTCCATAACACAGATTAATTAGTTCATTCATACTGAATCCGATCTCACATGTGCATACATAGATTTGAATGTATATAATATTAAATTAAGTTTGACATTCTCACACATCTAACAATATTAATCTTATGCGACCGGGACTTGGACGAGATGATAAGGTGTTGGCCTGGGCACCCAGTCCGCTCATGTTCGGGCCTTGCTATCTCTTTTATCACTCTCGATTAATTTGGTGTTGTAATTGTCGGGGCCGACTGCAGTATCTCCAGTTTGGTGTCTTTAGGATGTATTTGAAGGGCTTGCCTAGGAGAGTTCTGGGTCATCAAAAAAAAAAAAACCAAATTTATCCGCGTTGGCTTTTATTAATTTATACAAATTAATACTGATAACCTTATTTTAATATTAAATATAATCCTTATTTTGAAAAAAAACCCTATTTCACTTTGACGCAGCTTTCTAGGTTTTCTGGATATTCACTGTGTGACTGTGTGTGAGAGAGTGAAGATGGTAGAGACTGTCTGGGTAGAGAGGTTTTCTTTAAGCTGGCTGGCGAGAGGAAATTACTTTGATGTATCGCACCAGTATTAACCCACTAGACCTCTGGCCGTTGGATGTTTTTCTTGATTGATCAATCTTTGAAAATGGGGAATTCAATTAAAAAGCGAATCAGTTTATTGCTAAACATGAATAATGACTAATTTATTAAAGATGTAATTCACTTGCAGTAGACAGACCCGGGTTGCAAATGAACAAAATCGAGCCTAGTTGTAGGCTGTTCAGACTCGAGTTCGTGACGAGCTCAAAAAATTCATTTGGACTCAGGCTCAACTCTTATAATAAATTAAATAGAACTTATATTAAAGATGTAATTCACTTGCAGTAGACAGACTCATATGTTTGCAAATGAACAACTCCAGACATTTATGAGTGCTCTAGAAAACTTAGCCTTTATAGTTCCCATAGAAGCGGCCCCACTTCAAACTCATATAGGTGACTTCTTATTAAGAGTATCCTACCATACCCCACTTGAATTTTCAAAGTATAAGAGTCATTAAAAGCATATCTTATCCTAATCCTCGTTATAGGTAGCAGTATCTCATTATAGAAATGGGCAAAAGATTTATATCTTCTTAGTGCTTTTGGTGAGTCACTCAGAATTTCTGTTGTCCCTTTGAACCTAGATCTTAGGATCTCCAGTCAGCTAAGTTGAGTTTTCATTAAGATGACTCGTTAGCTTTCGACTTTAACCTTATTTCCCTCGATGATCTGTACAATTGCTCTTTAGTACAACTACACCTTTAATATTAAAGACATATCCACTACTGGATTTGAAGTCTTTAATATCTCATATCCAGATTGCATCACTATTACATCTCAAATTTAGCTAGATACCTCGATTTAGGCAATATTAGACTCAGGGTGTATCTCAACTACCCAATTTATTGCTTTTCAATGATCCTATCCTAGATTGAAAGTGTGCAATTAATCGCAGTTATTAAGATGTCTTACAATCTCAACCAATGATATGCTTTGACTAGTATTTATATTTAAGATTTATATCTACAAAATTTTAGCTAGGTTTTGTTATCATAACTAATATTATGTCAATCTCACTCTATTGAGAATATATTATGTCATTAGATGTTAAATCTTTCATATCAAATATACCAATTTGTATATCATTAATTTTTTAAGACATACAATGACTTATGCATCACATTTATGTCATTATCTCGGTAGTAGGTTTAATCCACTCAGAGACTTATAAGCTTGCACATTTAACTTTTCAACTGGAAAAAGAACTCTTCTAGTTGTTCCATAATGCTTTCCTTGTAGGAAATAACATGTTCTATTGTTATAATACTATAAATATTTTTTGGTTCTATCCTAAAATTCTTAGGACTCAGTACCCCCCACATTTATAAGTATTTCTTTTAAGATGAGGTGACTCGTAACAAATTTCATCTATAGATAATATCTCCACAACTTTGGTGATGTATTTATTATGATTTTTCAACTCTGAAAATACCGTATATGAAATACTTCACCTCATTTATCTTTTCAAGGTTCCATATTTGCTTCTCAACAAACATGTATAACAGTCTCTAGTGCATATGTACTCACTTTATCACTAGCTTATTCTTATAATAGTTTACTGACATTACTGTGAATTAATACTAGAGATATTGGTTAGATTGACATTTAATTAATATTTGCTTCTACATTTATCGTATTTATGACTTGAGTTATTTATGTTTAGGTTCATGTAAAGTCAGTCATATTAATATGTCATAACATTTTATATGTCACACATCACATAACTCAATCATTTAAGCAAACAACTCACTTATTGTTTAAGCTTTGGATATATACCACATAGTGAGCACTCACTTTTCAACTATCATTATTAGTTAAAAATGAGTTCTCAGTATCATTACTCGCTTAGATTAAGCACACTCTTCTTATTAATCACTACTATCTTATAGTGAACACTCACTTCTTAGCTATTACCACTAGTTTGAAGTTAAGTTTGCTCAGCTATCATTTCTAGTAGCCTTAGCTTTAGTAAACCATTTCATTGACTAACAATATTTTGTAGCAGAGGAATTTGTTTGGGAAAAAATTATCCAAAATCTACTACTTTACAAGTAATATTCTTCCTTCTTACAGGAGCAGATATGATGTATAATTCAAATAGCTTATGGCTAAAATGGCTACTCATCACCCTCGTGTTTTTTACTACCAAGTTGAAAGCTAGAACCAACTAACGTCTCTAAGGTTCTATGCACCTCAGTGATCACTTTAGCTTATAGTTAAGCTAATTAGTTTTCAACTTAGTAACATTTTATCTTGATTTAGCTTGTCTAAGTGTACTATCTTAGTGTATCTATAATTTTGTTTTTATTATATGATTTATGCACAAGAAAACGATATGCACTACTGTTATGAGCATAACTTATCAAAGATTTTATGTAACGATCCACTCCACCACATGATATGATATTGTTCCCTATGGGCCCGAGCCCGCACGGTTTTTGTTCTTGAGTTTTATCCTAAAAGGCCTCATATCAATTGGAGATAACACCACCACATAAAATCACTTCACTTTTCTCTTACCTAAACGATATGGGACTATGCACCTGTAACTAGCCCAGAATGGTAGCCTGTCAGTGTCTCTTACACCCGCCCACAAAGTCGTCACATTTTAGGTCCCACTTTAACTTTCTTAGATGTAGGAATTATAACCTTAGCTAGACACCTTCACACTTTTAAGGATTTATAGGAAAGTTTTTGACCTTTCCATAATGCATATGATGTCACATTAGTTTTTTTTAGAGGTATTTTTATTGAGAACATAGTTTGTAGAAAGCAAAACTTCTCTCCACAAATTATGAGTTAAACTAGAACTTACCAACATAGCATTCCTCATTTCTTCATGGATGATACCATGTTCTGAACAAATATCAACACACGGTGTTTTGTATTCATCACCTCTATCATTTCTTAACACCTTGATCTTTTTGCCAAGTTGATTCTTCATCTCATTTTTGTAATATTTAAACACTTATAAGGTTTCATTTTGTTTCGTAAAAAATATACATAACAGTATCATGTGTAATCATTGATAAAAGTAACGAAGTACCTTTTTTTACATCTTGTTGGTACATATTTAAGGTAATATAATATACTAAATAATATCATATTATAAAATTAAAATAATTCAACCAATATTGAATTATATAAATAATTCAATAATCTATCTTCAATTTCAC